CCGTCTCGCACACGCTGCATAACTAGATCCTCTTCGGTCGCACTTCTTGCAGCGCGAATCACATGCCCTGCGCAGGTTGCTGCGTCTTCCGCTCTCGTCCCCTCGCGTGCCATACTTGCGGCAGACGAAGGCCCCCGAACCGACGCAGCTGCCTTGCTTCGCGTGCGCCTGGCGCGCGTAAGCGGAAGGACCCTCCAGCTTCTGGGCCGGGCTTGTCAGAGGTTGCAGGCCCGTGCTGTTTTGGAGGGCGCGCTCAGGAGAGCCGTCAGTGGGAGATAATCCGCATCATGTTGGCGCATCCCACGCTCCATCGTCCAATGCGTGTCTTCCTCCTCCTCCTCCTCCTCCTCCTCCTCCTCCTCCTCTCCTCCTCCTCCTCCTCCTCCTCCTCCTCCTCCTCCTCCTCCTCCTCCTCCTCCTCCTCCTCCTCCTCCTCCTCCTCCTCCTCCTCCTCCTCCTCCTCCTCCCTCCTCCTCCTCTCTCCCTCCTCCCACCTCCTCCTCCTCCTCCTCCTCCTCCTCCTCCCTCCTCCTCCTCCTCCTCCTCCTCCTCCTCCTCCTCCTCCTCCTCCTCCTCCTCCTCCTCCTCCTCCTCCTCCTCCTCCTCCTCCTCCTCCTCCTCCTCCTCCCTCCTCCTCCTCCTCCTCCTCCTCCTCCTCCTCCTCCCTCCTCCTCCCTCCTCCTCCTCCTCCTCCTCCTCCTCCTCCTCCTCCTCCCTCCTCCTCCTCCTCCTCCTCCTCTCCATCGTCCATACGTGTCGTCCTCCTTCGACACCCATCGACCCCTCAGGTCTCGGACCTCCTTCGCCCCTGTTTCCCCCTCTCCACCTGGGCAGCCCCGCGAGGCGCACGCTTGACCCTTTTCTCGCGGGGCAAGCAGAGCGATCGAGAAAATTACCCTGGCGACGTACCCAAGCCCTGCGCAAACGCGGGGCGCAAATAGTTTTGGACACTTTATGAGGGGGGCGATGACGGAGCGAGGGTTACATATGTCTGCAGACGGAATTCGGGAGACTCGCAGGACACTGGCTACAGGACAAGGACTAGATAACTAGATAAAGCTGAGCAGTTACAATCTTTGAGCAACCCAGATCGCAGCCCCCCCAGGGATGGCGAGGTCTCTTCGTCACTGTGCTGGCCCCCCAGCGGGCCTCGAAATGGCGACAGTTTCACAGATCGCAGCCCCCCAGGGATGGCGAGGTCTAATTTGGGTCCGCGCGTGGCGTCACTGTGCTGGGCCCCCCAGCAGGCCTCGAAAGTGGCGACAGTTTCACAGATCGCAGCCCCCCAGGGATGGCGAGGTCTAATTTGAGTCCGCCCGTGGCGTCACTGTGCTGGGCCCCCCAGCAGGCCTCGAAAGTGGCGACAGTTTCACAGATCGCAGCCTCCCAGGGATGGCGAGGTCTAATTTGGGTCCGCGAGTGGCGTCACTGTGCTGGGCCCCCCAGCAGGCCTCGAAAGTGGCGACAGTTTCACAGATCGCAGCCCCCCAGGGATGGCGAGGTCTAATTTGGGTCCCCGTGGCGTCACTGTGCTGGGCCCCCCAGCAGGCCTCGAAAGTGGCGACAGTTTCACAGATCGCAGCCCCCCAGGGATGGCGAGGTCTAATTTGGGTCCGCCCGTGGCGTCACTGTGCTGGGCCCCCCAGCAGGCCTCGAAAGTGGCGACAGTTTCACAGATCGCAGCCCCCCAGGGATGGCGAGGTCTAATTTGAATCCGCGCGGGCCCTCACTTTGCTGGGCCCCCCAGCAGGCCTCGAAAGTGGCGACAGTTTCACAGATCGCAGCCCCCCAGGGATGGCGAGGTCTCATTTGAATCCGCGCGTGGGTCCCACTGTGCTGGGCCCCCCAGCAGGCCTCGAAAGTGGCGACAGTTTCACAGATCGCAGCCCCCCAGGGATGGCGAGGTCTAATTTGAATCTGCCGTGGCCCTCACTGTGCTGGGCCCCCCAGCAGGCCTCGAAAATGGCGACAGTTTCACAGATCGCAGCCCCCCAGGGATGGCGAGGTCTCATTTGAATCTGCCCGTGGCGTCACTGTGCTGGGCCCCCCAGCAGGCCTCGAAAGTGGCGACAGTTTCACAGATCGCAGCCCCCCCAGGGATGGCGAGGTCTCATTTGAATCTGCCCGTGGCCCTCACTGTGCTGGGCCCCCCAGCAGGCCTCGAAGATGGCGACAGTTTCACAGACCGCAGCCCCCCCAGGAATGGCGAGGTCTAATTTGAACCTGCGCGGGGCCCTCACTGTGCTGGGCCCCCCAGCAGGCCTCGAAAGCGGCGACAGTTTCACAGATCGCAGCCCCCCGCAGGAATGGCGAGGTCTAATTTGAATCTGCGCGTCGCCCTCACTGTGCTGAGCCCCCCAGCAGGCCTCGAAAATGGCGACAGTTTCACAGATCGCAGCCCCCCCACGGACGGCGAGGTCTAATTTGAACCTGCGCGGGGCCCTCACTTTGCTGGGCCCCCCGGCAGGCCTCGAAAGTGGCGACAGTTTCACAGATCGCAGCCCCCCCAGGGATGGCGAGGTCTCATTTGAATCTGCGCGGTGGCCCTCACTGTGCTGGGCCCCCCAGCAGGCCTCGAAAGCGGCGACAGTTTCACAGATCGCAGCCCCCCCAGGGATGGCGAGGTCTAATTTGAATCTGCGCGTCGCCCTCACTGTGCTGAGCCCCCCAGCAGGCCTCGAAAATGGCGACAGTTTCACAGATCGCAGCCCCCCCAGGGATGGCGAGGTCTAATTTGAATCTGCGCGGGGCCCTCACTTTGCTGGGCCCCCCAGCAGGCCTCGAAAATGGCGACAGTTTCACAGATCGCAGCCCCCCGCAGGCAAGACAGGAAGAGGCAGGGAGGGAGGGAGGAGGAGGAGGAAGGAAGGAGTGGAGACCACACTGGTCTATTCAAAACGAATACCCAACCAAGGAGGGTTGGGAAAAAGAAGCCCCCTCGATTACGGGTACGATGTTCCATGCTATTGCCCGTCGCCTCGCCTCCTCGTTCCCGAATTCCGACATGCCCCCTTCTGAAGGAGCTCGGTTTTCGATGGCGCCGCTTGGGGACCGTAGCCTCGCAGGCGCCGTCAAGAGCGCGGCCGCACATTAAGACGCTAGCTGGCGCATAGATCACCAGTGGCGGGGTCCATATTCTGGCACAGAGCAGTTGCAGGGTCGGGTGCGCCTCGCCCGCCATATCGTATTACTTGTTCTTGCGAGCCCCTGTGAGAGGCCGCCGAGATCCGCCCCCCACACCCACTCCCCGACCCACCGGCTCGTCGAAGTATGGGGGTTGAGTCTGATTACGCGGGGGTGGTGAACGGTCGGCTTGGCATCCACAGGAGGCTCATATTCACATGCCACATGTACCGTAAGCGTCGGCCGACTCTTTCTCAGCACGGGACAGTATCTCCCGCGCTTCTCGCGCGGGCCCGTCACGCTGCTCGTGTTGCCTTGCGAATCGCATCACCATAACATGTTCGCCAGGGCCACGTGCGCACCTCCTCCTGCTCAGTCTCCGCCTCCTTTCCCTCGCACGTTCCCTCTATCCAGCCCCCTCCACCCCTCCAGCCTCCCGATCATCATCCTTTCCCTCGCTCCTTTCATTCCGTCAGCCTCCTCCAACCCTCCAGCCTCGACCATTCTTTCAGCCTCCGTCTTCCTCCCCCTCCTTCTCCTCCTCATTATCATCATCATCCTCCTCCTCCTCATCCTTCTCCTCCTCCTCCTCCTCCTGCTCCTCCTCCTCCTCCTCCCCCTCCCCCTCCTCCCCTCCTCCTCCTCCTCCTCCTCCTCCTCCTCCTCCTTATCCTTATCCTCCTCCTCCTCCTCCTCCTCCTCCTCCTCCTCCTCCTCCTCCTCCTTCCTCCTCCTCCTCCTCCTCCTCCTCCCCCTCCCCAATCCCCCTCGTCCTCCTCCTACTCCTCCTTCCTTTCCCTCGTTCCCTCCCTTCTCCGCCTCGTCAGGCTCCTCCCCCGCCTCCTCACCCATCCTCTTCCTCCCTCTCCTCGCTCCTTCTTGGTCGAGCCTTGCTCTCCCTCCCTCCTCCTCCACCTCCTCCACCTCATCATCATCATCATCATCATCATCAGCATCATCAGCATCATCAGCATCATCATCATCATCATCATCATCATCATCATCATCATCATAAGCAGCAGCATCATCAGCAGCATCAGCAGCAGCAGCATCAGCATCAGCATCATCCTCGTCATCAGCATCATTAACACCACCACCATCATCAGCAGCAGCATCATCATCATCTTCATCATCCGCATCAGCATCAGCATTATCATCGCCTTCATCATCTTCATCAGCATCATCAACAGCTTCCTCATCATCATCGTGGTCGTCGTCATCGTCATCATCATAATACGCCTCAGCATCATCATTACCAGTACTATTCCCCTTCCCATCAGCATCAGCATCATCATCACTATCAGCATCATCAGCAGTAGCAACATCAGCATTAGCATCAACATCATCATCAGAATCAGCATCATCAGCAGCATTCACTTCCGTCATTCCGTCATCCTCCCTCCTCATCATCATAATCATCATCATCATCATCACCACCAGCATCATCATCATCATCATCATCATCATCATCATCCCCCTTCTCCGCCTTCTCCTTCTCCTTCTCCTTCTCCTCCTCCTCCCAAATCGCCCCTCCCTCCCTCACCGTCCCTCCTGGCTGACCCTGCCCTGCTGTCTGCTGGCGCGAGCTGGCGAGCCCGCCCTGAGGGTCCCAAGAAGCCAGAACAAGAATGGAGAAGGTTTCGGCCTATGGCTGCAGTTTTCTCGGGTGCGCGGAGGAGGAGGAGGAGGAGGAGGACAAGGACGAGGACGAGGACGAGGACGAGGGCGAGGAGGAGGAGGACGAGGGCGAGGAGAACGAGAAGAATCAGGAGGACGGGGGGACGAGGAGGACGAGGAGGAGGAGGACCAGGAGGAGCCAATGCCCTGGCTCACCAAGAAGTCCCTGTTTACGGGGCCCGTAGTGCCTGCGGCCCCAGGTGCTGCGGAGGAAGCCGGCGCAGCCGCTGGCGCTCATTCTTGAGGACGACGCGCGCTTCCCTTCTCCTCCTCCTCCTCCTCCTTCTCCTCCTCCTTCTCCTCCTCCTCTTCCCCTTATTCCTCCTCCTCGTCCTCCTCCTCCTCCACGTCGTCATCCTCCTTCTGCTCCATCATCATCCTCCACGCCCTCCAGCTCTACCCATGCTTCTCCTCCTCCTCCTCCTTCTCCTCATCCTCCATTTATTGTCCTTATAACTAATTCCTCATTGTCGCACCCCGAGGCCGGTCAAAAGGGCGGGCCGGGCGTTTCGCTTGAGACTTCCCCATAATTTGTAACTTTGAAGCTGAAAATAGACAATAGCTTCACAGATGGAGGGCGGCTGGCTTTCAAAATGTGACTCTCGCCGTAGCGCCGCGCACATTCGTTGTGGAAGTGTGTAAGAGCTTCACGGATTGAGTGCGGGTCGTTTTCAAAACACTGTTCTCGCCTTGGCGCCGCGCACATTCGGTCTAGAAAGTTGTAAGAGTTTCAAGGATTGACGGCGGGTGTTTTTCAAACTGTGACTCTCGCCTTAGCGCCGCGCACATGCGTTGTGGAAATGTGGAAGAGCTTCACGGATAAAGTGCGGGTCGTTTTCAAAATGCTGTTCTCGCCTTGGCGCTGCGCACATCCGGCTCAGAAAGTTGCAACAAGAGTTTCAAGGATTGACGGCGGGGCTGCAATTTTTGCCGTAGCGCCGCGCACATTCGGCCTAAACGTTTGCAAGAGCTTCACGGATTGCGGGCGGGTCGTTTCCAACGTGCGGCTCGCGCTTTTAGCGCCGCTCACATTCGTTTTAAAAGTCTGCAAGAGCTTCGCGGATCTAAGGTGGCTCGTTTCCAAAATGTGGTGTTCGCCCTAGCGCCGCGCACATTCGCTTTCAAAGTTTGCAAGACTTTCGCGGATTGAGGGCGGCTCTCTTTCAAAATGTGGCTCTCGCCTTAGCACCGCGCACATTCGTTCTAAAAGGTCGCAACTGGCTCATTACTTTTAGTGGTCAGCGTACCAGAAGTGGTGTGTTGGACCGATTCATGGCTGTCAGGGCGCAACAGTTACGCTGACCCAGTGTGTTAAAGTCCCAGGAGTGGTGTTCTGGCCCGATTCAGGAACGCCAGGACCTCACACTCAGGTTAACTCGTGGCGTTGCAGTCCTGAGAATGGTGTTTGGGCCCGCTCCAGTGGACATGAACCGTCGCAGGGGCCTATGAAAGGGGAGCTTGGAGGGAGGGTGTATTCCAACATCCCTGATGGGTCTTAGGTTTACACTGGTCTTCCTCCTCCTCATCATCCTTCTCCTCCTCCTCCTCCATGTCGTTTTCTTCCTCCTTCTCTTTCTCTTCCCTGCTCCTCCTCCTCAACATCGTCCTTCTCCTCATCCTCCTCATCCTCCTCTTGCGTCTCCTCATCCGCCTCCCTCCCTTCTCGTCCTCCTCCTCCTCCTCCTGCCCCCCCCCCTCGTCATCCTCATGATCATCCTCATTGTCATCCGTATCCGCCAGGGCATTGGCTCCTCCTGGTCCTCCTCGTCGTCATCCTCCTCCTACCTATCCCTCCCTCCTCGTCCTCATCCTCCTTCCTTCTCCTCCTCCTTCTTCCCTGCCTCATCCTCATCCTCATCCTTACTCTCATCCTGACCTCACCCTCCTCCCCAGACCCCCTCTGCTTCATGAGAAAAAAGACGGCTGGAGATGGTTTTCCAGTTCCGTCCCTTCCTCCTCTTCCTCATCCTCCTCATCATCATCATCCCTCCTCATCCTTCTGCTCATCCTCCTCCTGCTCCTCCTCCTCCTCCGCTCCCCCGTCCTTTGGCACCGCGCCCGTCAAATAACTAGTTTGAACGAAGCACCTGTCCACGGGTAGGGAAACATACTTCTTCGGTTCCGCGTTGTGGAAAGACAGTAGTAAAACAAGCAAGAAACAAAACGACGCCGAGGGTATGGGTCCACCTCCTCCTCGTCCGCACAAGCGGGAAGGGGACGGATTGACCAGGAGGGATGAAGAGGATTGGAAGGAGGAGGAGGAGGAGAAAGAGGAGGAGGAGGAGAAGTGGGAGTTGGAGAGGGGGGGAGGGGGAGTAGGAGGAGAAGGAGGAGGAGAAGGAGGAGGAAGCGGAGCAGCAGCAGCAGCAACAACAACAAGAAGAGGCTGAGACGGATATCCCATCTCCTCGTCCCACCTCCGGCCCCTCCCCCTCAGCATTCTTGCTCTTTGCAGCTACCCCAGATAAGACGTGAGTAATGACCGTAGCGTCTCGAAGATCTTTGCTCCTCCTTCTTCTCTTCCTCCTGCTCCTTCTCTTGATTCCTAATCCCTCCCCTCGGCTCCCCTCCACCACGCCGTCCTTCTCCACGTCGTCCTCATTGAAGTCGACCTCCTCCACATCATCCTTATACTCACATCGCATCCTTCCCCTCTCCCCCTTGCCCTCGCTTCGCCTCCTCCTCCTCCTCCTCCTCCTCCTCCTCCTCCTTCTGCTCCTGCTCCTGCTCCTCCTCCTCCTCCTCCCTCCTCCTCCTCCTCCCTCCTCCTCCTCCTCGCTCCTCCTCGCTCGCTTCTCCTCCTCCTATTCCTTCCTCCTCCTCCTCATCATCATCATCCTCCTCCTCCTCCTTCTCCTCCTCCTCCTCCTCCTCCTCCCTCCTCCTCCTCCTCCTGCTCCTGCTCCTCCTCCTCCTCTTCCTCCTCCTCCTCCTCCTCCTCCTCCTCCTCCTACTCTTCCTCCTCTTCCTCCTCCTCCTCCTGCTCCTGCTGCTGCTGCTGCTCCTCCTCCTCCTCCTCCTCCTCCTCCTCCTCCTCCTTCTCTATGTCGTCTTCCTCCTCCTTCTGCTCCTCCTACTCCTGCTCCTCCTCCTCCTTCTGCTCCTGCTCCTCCTCCTCCTGCTCCTCCTCCTCCTTCTCCTCTTCCTCCTCCTCATCCTCCTCATCCTCATCCTCCCCCTCCTGCTCCTCCTGCTCCTCCTCCTCCTCCTCCTGGTCCTGCTGCTCCTCCTCCTCCTCCTCCTCCTCCTTCTCCTCCTCCTCCTCGTCATCATCATCATCATCATCATCATCATCATCATCATCATCATCATCATCAGCATCAGCATCATCATCATCCTCACCCTCCTCATCCTCCTCCTCCTTCTCCTTCTGCTTTTGGTTCTGGCCCTATGTTCCCAACTGGGGAATTCGGCTTGCTCTGGGCAGAGCAGGTCCAGGCATGCCTTTCTCGATCAGCCGCCGACGCTGCGCCCGACCTCGCGCACCGACTGGCCAGGCCGCGCGCGTGCCGAGGCCGCGGTCGGTGGCTGGGCAGTTGCCCTCCCAGACCCCCGACGTCGAGACTTGTCACGACGTCGACCCCCAGGGGTATCGTTAAGGCGGGCCTGTCCCTCTACAGGAGGAATATTCAAAAATGGTTTAAAAATAGTCTGGGGACGATGTTTTGAGTATTGTTGCCCATGTTGTGGGTATTTTGTTGAGTCTCTTTTGAAATCCCCCTGCAGGAGGACACGCCCGACTTAAGGGTATCGACCACATCCCCAGGACCGGTCTTTTGTCCTGAGTCGAGGCCCGGCAAGGGCCCCCAGGCCGAGGATAGCGAAGAGCGTCCCGCCGCGATTTCGTCACAGCGCGAGGGGGTCTGGGCTCTGCACGGCCCAGACTCCCCCGGGCACGCCCACGCGAATACGCGGGCGGTTGTGGCCCATCAAGGGGGAACCGGCAGACCGCAGTTTCGGCTTCTTTGGTCTTCTGCGCCTCCTTGTCCTTCGGCCAGTGCTGCGTCTGCCCCCTCCTCCTCCTCCTACTCCTCCTGCGCCTCCTCCTCTTCCTCCTCTATGGTCCTTCTCTTCCTACATCTCTCTCTTTCGCTCTCTCTCTCTCTCTCTCTCTCTCTCTCTCTCTCTCTCTATATATATATATATATACATACATATTCCTCTTCTTATATTTTTACAAGCCCGGGGGGGGGGGGGGGGGAAACCGTCACCACCACCACCCCCAAAAAACTGGATCCCAGGGATCTGGGGTTCTCGGGCTCCCTTGGACGTCCATGGAAAAGGTCACCCGGCTTTCCAGAGCGATCAGAGGGGTCATCAGAAAGGCTCAAGGGAGGCCCCAGACAGCACAAGAGCGCTCCAAGAGGGACTCCAATTGCTTCAGGACGGCCCAAAAGACCCCCAAGGCACCCCAAAAAGCTTTCCAAGGGGCCTTCACAAAACACAAGAGTCGTCTCATTCCCTTCGTAAAACTTACAAGTTTAGCATATTCGCCTTTGGGATTTCATCAGCTTTCAAGACGGCTTGAAAGCCCCCGAGATCGCCTCAACACGCCCCAAGACGCCCCCAAGAAAGCTTCAAGACGGCCGAGCCGGGCCCCACGATCGCCCACGAGAGCCCCAAGACAGCCCATAATGGACCCAAGAGGCCCCCCAAGGGCTCCCAGCACAGACCCAAAAGGGCCATGGGAGGTCCCCAGAAGTGCCCAAGACGGGTCCAAAGGGGGCTCCAGCGGGCCCAAGCTCCCCAAGACGGCCCAAGAAGGCCCCAGGACGGCATATGAAGGCGCCAAAACGGCCCACGAGGGCCCCGAAAACACCCCCACGATGTTTCCGAATGCCAACATTCATTGATTTTGCTCCCATGACATTCCACATCGTGATCCAGTCGTTGAGGGTCTCGTGGCATGCAGCGAAGATGCCCGAGGATGCCCCCAACAATTTTCACATGATGATCGTGAGGCCTCCAGGGGTCCCAGAAGCCCCTGAGAGGCAATTGGCTATATATATATATATATATATATATATATATATATAATACATACACATGGATATAAATACACCTACAAATATATATATATATATATATATATATATATATATACATACATACATACATATGGGCGTGCACCGACAAAGCACGTACGAGTTGCATATGCATGTTTATACCCTTGCACACATCCATTTATATGTACATGTGTACGCTGTATACACATACAACAATGTAAGTGTATTGTATACACCTAGACATATACACGCAACGTGCATGTGCGTGCGCGTGTATACACGCATGCGCGCATGTACGCATGCACGCATTCCGTTTGCGTGCGGAACTCAAAGGACCAAGGTGCATGGCGCGCAGCGCCAATGCAGTCTTGTATATGTATGTATGTATATATATATATATATATATATAATATATATATATATATATATATACTCGCCCCCCCCCCCCAGCGCACCCCAACGACCATCTTTCTCTTCCTCCTCCTGGCTCCCTCACGCTCCTCCCCTCATCAGGCTCAGCATGTTCGATGGCGATTGTTCGAGAAGGCACCTGAGGCCTCTTGGATGTTCGTTGGGATATGGTGGGAGGCATCTCGGGGATCTGTTGAAAGCAGTTTTGAAGCCTCTTAGGGGCAGTCTGGGGGCCTCTGGGGGCCTCTTGGGCGCCTCTTGAGCTTCTTGGAGGCCTCTTGGATCCTCCTGGAGTTGATGATGACGAGTGCGATGATGATGATGATGATGATGACGATGATGGGGCTGAGGACGACGACGATGATGATGATGATGATGATGGGGATGGTTCTGATGACGATTGCGATTAAGATGATGGCGATGGCAACGATGACAATTGCAATGATGATGATTTTGATGATGACGAACACTATATTTCATCAGCGTCCTCACGCTCACTTTCATCATGTAGTTAACGTATTGTGCTCAAGCCGTTGCCAAGCATACGCGAACGTATTTGTCTTTTTTGTTGCTGTTGTTTTTTAACATGCCATCCTTGTGCATCAATCTGGATTGCAAGTTCGGCGCGATCAACAAACAGGGCGAAAAAAACAGAGGAAACGCACAGCCAAATGAAAAGTGTTGCATTTGCGCCTGCGCGGACGCCGGCGTCCTTACAGGCCCTCTCTCTCTTTCCCTCTCTCTCTGTCAGTCTCCGCAGCACTCGCGGCAGGTATTGCGAAAGTGTGGCTAGAAGAAAGCCACGGCGAATGTTTGCCTGCTTCTGGTGCGCGCTGTATATAGTTTACAGATATATTTTCGCAGGGCCTATCAGAATGCTTGTTACTCCACATCGAAATCGCTGCTTGGCCAAAAGCTCGGTTCATTAGAAACACGCAGACGGACATTGTCTTGCGCCCCTGCCTGTTGCAAACAAAAACGACGATTCGTTTCGAGTGCGCCCCTCGTGCATCAGCGGCGCGCTGCCGCGCGCGCTATTCGGTTGCATCCCAGGTTCGGACGTGCGCCGCGTGGCTGACATCGCCTGACGCCCTTGCGCGAACACATGTCGAGGGCGTGGATTGGTCAACAACTTAGAGTTTCATGGAACGCCGCGCCCAGGCCGCCCTCGGACTACCGCCTCACCGCCAAGTCGTCTTCGATGCGGATGGCGACCAGCCGAGCCATCGCATAAGCGTTGCCTCCCCGTTGGCACCCCTCCACCTCGCATTCGTCTTCGTTGAATTCGCAGCAGTTTTGGTTCGAGCGTTCACTTCCGTCGTCGGGGCGCTGGCCCAGAGCCCGCAGCATTGCCCTCGCGGCCTTGCCGCTCGGCCGCCGTCAGCTGCCATGGGCAAGGGCCAGAAGTACTTCCCGCCCGCGAAGAGAGGCAAGTTGCGCGCCTTCTTGAAGGGCACTGGCAAGAAGAAGGCTGTCATGAAGAGCACCGCAGCGATGGAGATGAAGAGGGGAGATGCCCCCAAGACTCGCGCCCCGGAGAGCGTGCCATACGTGCGCCACGGAGCCTTGACGACCAAGTCGCGGCGAGACCGCGAACAGTGGGCACGCTGCCTGAAGGACATCGTGAACCGCCCCCTGAGGACTATCATCAACTTGCTCAAGAAGGATGGCGTCCTGCCCGAATGGCACGGCGTGGCTTGTCCGCACTGCCAGAGGTCAACGCTCGGCCCTCTCAAGGACTTCGGGGCGAAGGGGGGCGGGTGGGCGCACATGTGCAAGGGCAGAGACTGCAAGCGCCGCGTACTGCCCCATGCCTTCCACCCTATCTTTCGCGTCGGTACTGGGAAGTCCCATGCTGGGCTTGGTGGCCAGGCTGCGATCTTGTTCTGCGCTGTATCTGGGTGCACGCAGACGACAGTTCGCTACCTGCTGGGAGAAAAAAAAAAAAAAAAAAAAAAAAAAAAAAAAAAAAAAAAAAAAAAAAAAAAAAAAAAAAAAAAAAAAAAAAAAAAAAAAAAAAAAAAAAAAAAAAAAAAAAAAAACACACACACACAACACACACACACACACACACACACACACACACACACACACACACACACACACACACACACACACACACACACACACACACACACACACACACACACACACACACAAGTTGGCGGAATACATATACAAGTCTCTGTACGATGCCAGAGCCAAGTACGCGCGGCAGGAAGAGAAGAAGATCCGCTTCGGCGAGGATGTCGAGTGGCCCGACGTCGAGGCGGACGAGGTCGACGTTGCCAAGGGCGAGGACCCAGACGCCACCTCGCGCACCAAGAAGCCAGTGGCGTGGGAGCAGTGGGGCGGGATTGTCCAGCGCGGAGACCCTAAGTCGCTCGTCCTCTTCAGGCTTCGCCCAGAGAAAACAGTGCGGAGGGCGCCAGGCCCAGGCCCGATCCGCAAGCGCGACTGGGCCCCGCTGGCCAAGAAGTGGCTCAAGCAACGCAAAGCCATGCTCCACACAGACGGCGCCCGCTCCTACAAGCTGCGCGTTGACGGCGTGGTCCACGACTGGGTCGTCCACATGAAGAAGCGCGTGAAGGCCGCTGGTGTTTGTGTTTGGGTGGGTGGGTGGAGGAGGGGAAGGTGGCCGTCCCTCGCCGACGCCGATTGCGGCGGTGCCCTTTTCTGCCGCAGAGTCAATTGGCTCGACCTCTTGACCAGAGGTACGATGTGGGCATTGTCAGAGTCGGCGCAGGCAAAGGACAGTCGGCCCCTTTGCCGCTCCTCGCAGGTGAACGGCAAGTACGCGTGGGTCAAGCCAGCCTTCACGAAGGTCAGGTATCACGACATTGCAGACAATGGATGCTCCAACAAGAAGAAGCGCATCTGGGTGAAGTGCGGGACCCAGATCATTGACCGCGCCTGGGGCGGGTTGAGGCGCCACCTTGGCCCCAACCGCAAGGTGAACTCCCGCGCGCTGGCAAACAAGGTGAGGTCCTTCCAGTGGCGCTACTGGAAGAAGGGCGAGGACCTGTGGGCGCAGACGGGCAATATGCCCACCGCTCTGTTCCAGCAGCAGCACGAGTGAGCGAGCCCATCTGCCGCTGCAGAGGCACTGCATACCTCCGTCTCAAATGCCACCTACCCTGGCCCCGCACTGCTTCCCGCACGGCGAAATGTTGGGCCAGCGCAGCGAGAGTGCCCAAGCGATATGTGTGCGGACGTGCATATTGGTTCTGAGGTTCGAGAAAAACTACGTAGTCTGCCCGCATGGAAAGTCCGCCCGCAAGGGTATGATCAGGAGCAGCCGTCGCCGCCGTCGCGTCGTCGTCGTTGATTCAGCCCCCGCACCCCTGCGGTTACCCCCGCCCCCGCTGTGTCCTGCCGCCGCTATTGATCAGGCTTGCACAGGGTGTCCGAATACATTCGCACGCGCACAAGCCCCTGGTATATCTCTGCTCATGACCAACCTCCCCGCCCTCGGAATGAAGTCCCCGAGGGCGCACTTGGAGGTCGAGGGGGCGGACAGCGAGAAGATCCAGCAGGTATTCGAAAAGGTCCGCGGCCACGGCTCGGCCGCCCCGATGTACCAGACGGCGTTGCACCCCGAGGAATTCCAGGGCGATCCCCCAGCTCTCTACTCTGTAGGGGATATCCCCCTCATGCCGTCTGAAGGTTGCAAGAAGATGAAGCATGCCTTTGCCGTTGTCTTGAACTACCAGGGGGGCATCGACATGGCCGCGGCGCGGGAGGCCATGGCGGTCAACGACTACAATGGTCTGCCAGAGCTATTGCGCCCCAGAACAAACTGGGAAGCCCTTTACACGATGCAGTTGGCACTGGTGCCCGCTGGCGACGGCGACGGGACAGACATCATCAAGTACTTTCTGTTCTCGGGCCCGCAGCCGTTGGTCGACGTCGAGAACCGCCTCCCGCGTGAGAATGAAGCGTTGTACACGCTATCTTGGGGCAAGGGAGCGGACGTCAAGACGCCGTGGAAAGTCTTGGTCTACATGATGGATCGGCTCGGTGGCACGCACTTCCGTTACCACCTACCCCCGCGGGAGAAGGGCGAAAAGGAGAAGAAGAAGAAGTGCCTTCCCCAGGACATGATCGTATCCCAGTACCAGTTCATTAAGGACAACGCCCCGCGCGGCAACTTCGATTGCGAACAGATGATGTGGATCGACTTCCAGCTGAACGACCCGCAGAGCCCCATCCACAGCTGGAAAGAGGGGAAGATTAAGGAGGTTCTCTCGCACATTAAGGACCAGGGCATTCAGGCGAAAAAGATCACGCACCACCCCATCTTCATCTTCGACACAGGGGGCGAGGGCGTCGAGCGCGCGAAGCGCATCGTGCCTACTTTCAAGAGCCACTCCTGCCTCATGGTCGGCGAGCCTGGCGAGGGGAAGACGCCGTACCTGGAGACGCTGGCATTCGCCATGGGCGACTACTACGCAGACAAGCTGGGGGACCGCGGCTTGGCCTCGTTCAGAGAGGGGCCAGACCTGGATTTCTTCAGGGCCGAAGAGGGCACGAAGCACTGCCCGTGCGTCTTTGATGACGGCGACTTGTTCGAGCAGCGCCCGAAGACGTTGAAGGCTTTCTTGGACGTCGGCCAGTTCCAGGCGATGACGAGGGAGCGGCGGGGGGCTGCCAAGTTCGTTCGGGGCCAGGCGCGCTTCGCCGCGGAGAACATGTACGACGAGACGGCTGTCCCCACCATGGACGCGTGGCGCGGTCTGTGCATCTTGTCGCCAGCTGAGGCCAAGCAGAAGCGAAACCAGTACTTCTTCGACATGCTCAAGCGCACGTCCCCCAAGGACATGTTCAAAGCGAACGTCATGGCCCTCTTGAAGCGGTCCTCCGCGGTCGTGAACACCCCCAATGACGTATTCGAGCGCTTGGCGGGTTTGGACTCGGACGTGACGAGGGCCCCGAAGGTTGGCCACTACATTACCAAGGCAGCGGGGGATATTCTCTACGACTACATCCACAACGGCGCGATGCGGGACGCCGAGGAATACAACTCGCTGAGGGACAAGCAGCTCCGCTTCATGAAGGCGCTGCTGGACAAGGGTTCCGTGCCCCTGCCTCTCTCGGTCAAGGAGGAGCAGCCGCCTGACGGCGCCGAGGGCGGCAGTAGTTCGTCGGCGGCCCGCGAGCCCCTCCCGCCCTTGCCCAAGCGCATCTGCTGGGCGAGGTCGTTCGGGAGCATCCCGGAGGTCGAGATCGACCTCTCGAGCTCGCCCGAAGAGGCCCGCGGCGCCGCCGCCGCGCCCAGTAGCCAGGACCTCGCCGCTGCGCTCGCCGATGCAGACAACGGCGATCCGCTCGGCCTGGGCGGCGGAATGAATGCCGATGCGTCGGAATGAGCGGGCGGCCGCTTCGGCGGGGGGCAGCCAGCGGCCAACGCTGCCCCTCGATATTATAAATGCTGATCGATTGTGCACTGGCTGCCCCGACTATGCCAAAGACGAGGGAGTCACAGCAGCAACCACAAACGCTACCTTCCAGAAAACGTTGTCGCCACGTCGTCGTCACCCTCATATTCTTTGTGAACTTGTTCTTCCTTTCCTCACCGTTTGCTGCCCACGTCTCCCGATCGGCTGAGCAAGGTCTGCTGCCCAAAGCTAGACACAGAGGGTCCATAAGGCGTTGGTAAGGACACCTTGTGAAAACACAAGTCCCGTCCATGCTGCGGCCGCTGTCGTGAGGAAGCCTTGTAACACACACACGTACACACACGCACACACACACACACACGCACACACACACACACACACACACACACACACACACATACACACATACACACACACGCACGCACGCACACACACACACGCGCCTGATAGTTTTAATCGTTTTCGTAAGGGAACTCTTATGAAAACGCACGTATTCTTGATATGTTTGAAGTTTTTGACAAGAAAACCATATAAAAACACAGATATTCTTGATATTTTTGATGGTTTTCATAAGGAAACCATGTGAAAACACAGATATCCCTGGTATTGATAATGGTTTTCGTTAGGAAACCCTGTGAAAACACAGATATTCCTGATATTTTGTGGTTTTCTGGAGACGGGCGCCCCTCTTCCTCTTGCGCCACCAGCCTTTGCAGCGCGCCCGTATCAAGAAAACCACAAAATATCAGGGATATCTGTTTTTTTCACAGGGCTTCCTAACGAAAACCACCAAAACTATCAGGAATATCTGTGTTTTCACATGGTTTCCTTATGAAAACCATCAAAAATATCAAGAATATCTGTGTTTTCACAAGGTTTTTGTGCGACAACCTTTCAAAATATTAGGAATAGTTGTGTTTTCACAGGTGTTCCTGCCTGGCGCATTGTCCCTGAGGGGCGTGGACCTGGGGAGGGAGCAGGGGGAAGGAGCGCCCTTTTCCAGAAAACCAACAAATATCAGGAATATCTGTGTTTTCACCGGGTTTCCTAACGAAAACCATCAAAAATATCAGGAATATCTGTGTGTTCATATGGCTTCCTTGCCAAAGCATTCAAACATATCAGGAATATCTGTGTTTTCATATGGTTTCCTCAGAGAGCAGCCCCTTTTGTAAGGCTTCTCATAAGGAGGAGGAGGAGGAGGAGCAGCAGGAGGAGGATGAGAGGAGGAGGAGAAAGAAAAGAGAGGAAACAGAGGAAGAAGCAGAGAAGCAGGAGGAGGGAAAGGAGGAAGAGGAGGAGGAGGAGGAGGAGCAGCAGCAGGAGCAAACGATCAATGATGGATTTGTGGTCGTGGGTGGTGGGGTGCGCTGGTGTATGTATTCCTCTCCCTCTCTCTCTCGTTCGCTCTCTCTTGTTCTCTCTCTCTATGTTTATACATTGCATATCACTAAATATAAGTAGATGGTTATCCGTGTCTCTCTCTCTCTCTCTCCCCCCCCTCCTTCTCTGTCTCTCTATCTCTATGTCTCCCTTGCTCTCTCCCTTGTTATGTTTATATCGTTGTCTGTATTCCTTGTTATATCTCGTTATCCCTTTTACAGTAGTAGAAATAGCTGTGTCTGTGTATAAATATAGTTACATGTACGTATGTCATGAATGTATGCAAATGTCTGTTTATACATCTATGTGTTTGTTGGCCAGCATGGACCCCAAACAGTGGGCTGGAAAATACGTGATATAAGCTATGTGGTGCAATCGCCTTCTAAGCAGTATCTGTGGTGTGAGCTTTGATGCAATAGATTTGGTGGAAGCTATGTGGTGCAATCGATGTGGGGCAGCGTGCGTGGTGTAAACTATGTGGTACAGCAAACACATTTATATACATGTATAACTATATCCAGTGGGAGAGACATTGTGCAATATTGGTGGTGCAATATACGTGATACAACATGTGGGATGTAAGCTATGTGGCGCAATAGTTGTCAAGCGAATACTACACGTTGGTACTATAGACATGGTGCTTTGTATGTGGTGCAAAAGATGCAGTGCAAGTTATGTGGTGCAATATATGTGTGTCGCAAAGCAGTTCAAGCAATCATTAGCAATGCATATCAACGCAACGCAATGCAAAGCAACGCAACGCAATGCAATGCCAAGCAACACAAAGCAATGCAAGAAGCCATGCAATGTAATGCGATGCAAACAAATCCAAAGCAATGCAATGCAAAGCAATGCAGTTCAATCAAAAGTGTACCCAAAATGGTGCGGCGACGAACGACGGCGACGCCCCGCGAAGGGCAGCCACAGGCCGGCCAGACTGGCGCACAGTCACGGTTGCGAGCCTCGCACAGTGGGCGGCAGCGACGGGCGGCTACAAGGCGGCGATACGGACAACCAGGCCCAGTTCTTTATAAGACAAGTAAGAAGCCCTAAGTGCAAGCAGTGCTTGGGCACATACACATACATCAACCCTCATGTTCTTTATCCGTCCTCCCCATTCTCCTCACTCATCCTCCCTCCTCCTCATCCTCCTCACCCTCCTCCTCCTCCTCGTCCTCCTCTTCCTCCTTCTCCCCATCGACCCTACCATCATCCCTCCTCCTCCTCCGCCTCCTCCTCCTCCTCCTAATCATCATCATCATCATCAGCATCGGCATCAGCATCATCATCATTATCATCATCATCATTATCATCATCATTATCAGCATCACCACCATCATCATCTGCAGCATCAGCATCATCAGCATCAACAGCAGCAGCATCATCATCATCCCCCACCTTCATCCTCCATCATCCTTCGTCCCTGCCCCTCGCCCCCCGTCCCTCCTCCCTCCCCCTCCGCATCCTGCAGGATGACGTGCACCTTGTGCACGACTTCGCCCTCAAGCTGAGGCGGTTGCTGGAGGGCGAGGCGCTGTCAGCCACCATCCTCCCACCCTGTCCTCCTCACGCCTTCTCGGTCCCCTCGCCATCCCCCCCCCCCTCCTCGCGGTCAGGAGCTCCCGTTTCGAGGTTCGAGACTTTCGCGTTCGGGGTTCGAGGTCTTCGGGCGTTTTCCGTTGCTCTCGGATTTGCGGTGGGCGTTGCGCGGTGGGCGTTCCGCGGTTTTCCGGCACCCGGATGCGCTCCGTCAGTTGCACCTCGCCGGGGGCGGTCCGAGTGCGGTCGGGAATCGTGGCTCGACATGTCGCGCCACAAGTTCAGACCCGTCACGCCTCGACACGACACTCTGGCCGCAGCGACACGCGGAGCAGCAGCTCCTGACCTTGCTCGTTAACTGGCTTTCCGCAGATGGCCCAAGTTTGGGCGCGCCTCGCCCTTGGCGGAAGCCAGCAGAAGGGAAGGGGGCGGCGGGCCCTGGGGCGGACCTAAAACGGAGGGCGTTGGAAGTGAGAGTGAGACGTCGACCTTATGGGGTTCCAGGTTCCTCAACCCGCCAGGTCCTTAATCCTTAACATCGCCGTCCTAATAATCATCATCATCATCATCATCATCATCATCATCATCATCATCATCATCATCATCATCATTATCATTATCATTATCATCATCATCATCATCATCATCATCATCATCATCATCATCATCATCATCATCATCGTCATCGTCATCGTCATCGTCATCGTCATCGTCATCGTCATCACCATCATCATCACCATCACAATCACCATCATCCTCATCATCATCATCATCAGCAGCAGCATCAGTATCAGCATCAGCATCAGCAGCATCTGCATCACCAGCATCAACATCTTTATATTCATACTCATCAACATCGTCGACATCATCATCAGCATCATCATCACCGTCAACATCATCATCGTCATCAGTGTCATCATCATAATTATCATCATCTGTATCATCAGCATCATCATCAGCAGCAGCACCCTCATCCGTATCACAATCATCAACATCGATATTATATTCATCATCCTCATCACCATCAACATCATCACCATGTTTCTGGGACGGCGGCGCGCGGCACAGCCGAGGCGGGGATGCTGCTAAAGAGGCCCAGGCGGCGGGACTGATCGGCCAGCGGTAAACCATCAGCGGCGTCTCCAGATTGGAGCGGCCACGGGTTCTCGAAGAAGAAACAAACTGCACAAATAAAGAAAAACGTTCGGAGGTCCTCGCAGGTTTCTCGGATCGGCGCTGGGCACCCCCTGGCGGCGCCTCCAGCGCCGCCAGCACCGATCCAAGAAATCCGCGCAGACCTCTGAAAGTTTATGTGTTTGCAGTAATGATTAGGCTAGGCCTCATGTGCTCCACGCGCTCATTCGGGCACTGATATAGCAGCGGTAGCATCGAGGAGGGCCACTACCTTGTAGTCACTGAGATGGGCTTCGGCGTCGTGGGGATGATCCTTTTGTGGCTCGACACATCCACCACCATCGCAGAAGCTTCCCACACAGACCCCATGTATGGCTTCATTGACGCCTTCGCGACGAAAGGGTTCCAGATCGATCTCGTGAACTCGAAGCTTGCGCCAAAAGCCTGGCACGCGGAGTGGTACAGGATGCTCACCGCGACCATCGACTTCGAGTTCGGCCCCAGGCTTTCCAAACGCTCGTTCGAGCACTGGTCTGTGAGTGTGGACATTGGGTTTCCGTGTGGGCTTCGAGAAAGGCTTCGACGTCGGGGAGATGACCACCTCCTCGATCAGCACCTTTCGCGCCATCGCAGAGGCATTCCTCACCTCAGCTCCCAAGCTCTACCGCACGTGCTCGATGTGCGTGTCGCGGCACGTGAACAAACGCAAGGACGAGAGCGAGCTTCCAGAGTCGCTCTGGGCATGGTACGCTCTCGGATCAGTTCCTGCTCCGCGGCAGCTGCTGAAGCGCACGCTCTCGCACGCACAGACGGTTCTGCCCAGCCCCCTTCCTCTCGCGGGTTGCGGGGCCGGTGTTCGCCCGGCCAGGCGACCTATAGCTGTAGGCTCGGCCGCACGCGTGCCCTCGGACCCCCGGCGCGGGTCGAGAGCGCCATGTCCGTCGGAGGGCAGCCGCGGCACGGCCGAGTACGCTCGCGCCGCCAGGGCGCGCCTGTCGGCGCCGCCCCCCGTGCGATGCAAGGCCCTGGCATTGGAGCAGCTCTGGGATTAAGTCGGGCATGTCCCTCTACAGGAGGAACACTCCAAAATTATGAAAAAATAGTCCGGGGACGATGTTTCTGATATTTGGGGCACTTTTTGTACATATGTCTAAGAACTTATCAGTTTTCGCCCTAGATCCGCCTCTAGGGAGACATGCCCGACCTAACCCTGGCATTGGAGCAGCTTTGGGGGCCACGCGCACGTGCGCGCACCGCCGCGCCCCACGCGCGCAGGCGTTGGGCGAGCGGCCGCTCGCGCACGCCCGCGAGCGCCGGGTGCACTGTGCAAGCAGCGCTCCCAAGGCGCACTGTCGTGGAGCACGCACCTGCTGGAGAGCCCTGCCTCTGAGAGCCACGGGCGGCGGCATGATGTGCAGCCGTCTGAGGCACAGTCACTCCCCGTCTCGGCGGCGCGCCGAGGGGTGGCAAGTGAGACGGGGCGCGCCGTCTCGGAAGGCGGCGGGGCTTCGCAGAAGCCCTCCAGCCTTCTGAGGAAGCCCGGTGTGGCTTCGGAGAGGGCTCGTAGATCTTCGAAGGTCTAGGGAGGCCGGAAGGCGCTTGAGCTCTCTGAGAAGGCTCACTCCCCATGACTTTGCCCCAGTCAAATCACTCGTTCTCCCTACCTCCCTGCCTCTCCTGCTCGTTCGTCCTACCCGACTGGTCCCCCCCATATCCCAGCCCCTCTCCTCCCTCCAGTCTGCCAGTGTTCGCTTCCCTTCATTACATCCTCATTTTTCTCCTCGCCCATTTCCCTCCTGTCCCCCTGTTTGCCCGACCCATCCTTCTGCCTCCTCTCCGCCCCTCCTGGTCCCGACCCTCCTTCGCCCCTTCTTCCTACCCTCCCCCTGCTCCCATCCCTCATCCCCCCCTCCTCTCTGCCCTTTTCCGTCCCCCCCTCCATCCTGCTCCCCCCCTCCCTCCTGAGCCGCGCGCTCCTCCTCCTCCTCCTCCTCCTCCTCCTCCTCCTCCTCCTCCTCATCATCATCATCATCATCATCATCATCATCATCATCATCATCATCATCCTTGTCGTCGTCATCATCAGCAGCATCAGCATCATCACCATCATCAGTATAATAATCCTCATAATCCTCATAATCCTCATGATGATCATCATCATCATCATCATCATCATCATCATCATCATCCTCATTGTCAACATCATCATCATCATCATCATCACTATCAATATCAGTATCAGCATCATCCTCATCATCATCATCAGCAGCATCATCATCAGTTGCATCCGCAGAATCATCAGCAGCAATATCATCAGCGTCATCATCATCAGCAGCAGCATCATGATCAGCAGCATATCAGCATCATCATCTCTCCTCTCCTCCTCCTCCTCCTCCTCCTCCTCCTCCTCCTCCTCTTCCTCCTCCTTCTCCGCCTCCCCCTCCTCCGCATCCCCCTTCTCCTCCTCCTCCTTCTCCTCCTCCTCCTCCATTCCTTCTCCTTATAGAGAACTTCTCCCTATCGCACCCCGAGGCCAGCTTTTTGGGGCGGGCTGGGCGTTTCGCCTGAGACTTCTTCACCGCTTACGAATCTGAAGATTACAACTTGGCAACAGCTTCACAGATGGAGGGCGGGTCGTTTTCAAAATTCGGCTCTCGCTTTAGCGCGGCACACATTCGTTTTAGAAATTTGCAACAGCTTCACGGATTGAGGGCGGGTGGCTTTCAAAATGTGGTTCTCGCCTTAGCGGGGCACACATTCTTTACAAATGTACAAGAGTTTCACGGATTGAGGGCGGCTCTTTTCTCAAAATGTGGTTCTCATCTTAGCACGGCGCATATTCGTTTTAAGCATTTGCAAGAGTTTCACGGATTGAGGGTGGGTGGTTTTCAAAGTGTGGTTGTCGTTTCAGCGCAGCGTACACCCGTTCAAAAGATGCGCAAGAGTTTCACATTTTGAGGCGGTTCTTTTTTCAAGATGTGGTTCTCGGCTCAGCGGGGGGGGGCACATTCGTTTTTACCAAAATTACAAGAGCCTCACGGACTGAGGGCGGTTCCTTTTCAACATGTGGCTCGCCCCTTAGCAGGGCGCGCATGCGTTGCAGAAACTGGCGAGAGTTTCATGGATTCCCATCATCGACGTGCCAGGCATGGTGTTTCGAAAGGGTTCAGGATTATGCGGGTGCAACAGTTATGTTGGTTCGTCGCGTTGAAGTCCCAGGAATGGTGTTATGGTGCGCTTCAAGATTGTCAAGACGCAACAGTCAGGTTGATCCGCGGCGTTGGAATCCCGAGAACAATGCTCGGGTATGCTTCATGGTCTTCAAACGGTTGCCCTCTAAAGAAGCAGTTCCTTCAATGGGAATGAACCGATGTAGGGGCCAATGAAAAGGGAATTTGGAGGGAGGGTGTATTCCAACATCGTTGATGGCCCTTGGGTTTACATTGGTCCCTCATCCTCCTCCGCCTGCGCCACCGCCTCCTCCTCCTCCTCCTCCTCATCCCTCCCTCCCTCCCTCCCTCCTCCTCCTCCTTCTCCTCCTCCCTCCGTCCCTCCCTCCTCCTCCTCCCTTCCGCCTCTCCTTCCTCCTCCTCCTCCGCCTCCTCCTTCTCCTTCTCATCCTCCTCCGCCCCCTGCTCCTCCTGCTCCTCTTCCTCCTCTTCCTCCTCCTCCTCATCCTCCTCCTCCCTCTCCTACTTCGCCTCCTCCTCCTCCTCCTCCTCCTCGTCTTCCTCCTCCGCCTCCTCTTCCTCCTCCTGATCCTCATCATCGACTTAGTGTTGGTATTATTCCTCCTCCTCCTCCTCCTCCTCCTCCTCCTCCTCTTCCTCATTCTCCTCCTCCTCGTCTTCCTTCTCCTTCGCATCCCCATCCGCCTTCTCATCCTGCTCCTCTGGCACTCTGCGAGGGCCCCCGTTCATTTGCCAACAAAACCTTCCAGAAGCCACCGATGGCACCCGATCCACCTCCCAGCACGGAACGGCACCGAAGGAAATGTTTCCCGCGATTGTGTTATTCTTCCCCCCGTTCGTCTTCCTTTCTCTTCCCCCTCCTCCTCCACAATTACACATCCCGAAGATGATCGGCCCTCTCCGCGTTTTGTTCCCAACTTTTCCTGTGGTGCTGGGTCCCGTTGTGTAAAGACAGCGCCCCGCGTCACCTTATTCTCATCCTCCTTCCGTCTCCTCCTCCAATCCTTGCAGCCTTGCTTCCACCCTCTGCATGTCTCTGTTTCGGCGCACCCCATCACACGCTTCATGGCCCCACTGGGAGCTCCACCGAAGGCCCCAGCGGCAGTGTCCGCATGGCGCACCCGCACTGAATTCATGACACCCCTCACACGTTTCGTGGCCCCACACGGAGCTGGCCCGGGAGCTAAAGCCCCAGCGGCAGCGTCCGCATGGTAAAACCGCACCCAATTCGGCACAGCCCTCACTCGCTGCTTGACCCCATAAGGATTTCCACCGAATTTCCCAGCGGCACCATCCGCATGGCGCACCCGCACCCACGTCGGCAGACCCCCTCACACGTTTCGCGGCCGCATAGGGAGCTCCACTGAATACCTCAGCGGCAGCGTCCGCATGGCGAACCCGCACCCACGTCGGCACACCCCTGACACATTTCGTGGCCCCGTAGGGACCTCCCACGAAGGGCCCAGCGGCAGCGTCCGCATGGCGCACCCGCACCCACGTCGGCAGACCCCCTCACACGTTTCGCGGCCGCATAGGGAGCTCCACTGAATACCTCAGCGGCAGCGTCCGCATGGCGAACCCGCACCCACGTCGGCACACCCCTGACACATTTCGTGGCCCCGTAGGGACCTCCCACGAAGGGCCCAGCGAAAGCTGCCGCATGGCGTACCCGCACCCATTTCGGCACACTTCTCACACAGCACGTGGTCCCACAGGAAGTTCCACCGAAAGCCCCAGCGGCAGCGTCCGCATGGCGCACCCGCACCCACGCCAGCACACCCCTCACACGCTACTTGGACGCCTAGGGAGCTCCACCGAAGGCACCTGCGGCAGCGTCCGCATGGCGTAGACGCACCCGATTTGGCACACCCCTCACACGCTTCGTGGCCCCATAGGGAACCCACTCAAGGCCCCAGCGGCAGCGTCCGCATGGCGTACCCGCACCCGTTTCGGCACACACCCCATCACACGCCTCGTGGCCCCACAGGGAGCCCCACTCAAGGCCGCAGCGGCAGCGTCCGCATGGCGTACCCGCACCCGATTCGGCACACTTCTCACATCCCGTGGCCTCACAGGGAGCTCAACCAAAGGCCGCAGCGGCAGCGTCCGCATGGCGTAGACGCACCCGATTCGGCGCACCTCTCACACGCCTCGTGGCCCCACAGGGAGCTCCACCGAAGGCCCCAGCGGCAGCGTCCGCATGACGCACCCGTACCCGATTCGGCACACCTCTCACGTTTCGTGTCCAAAAAGGGAGCTCCTCTTAAGGCTCCTGCAGCAGCGTCCGCATGGCGTAGACGCACCCGATTCGGCGCACCTCTCACACGCTTCGTGGCCCCAGAGGGAGCTTCACCGAAGGCCGCAGCGGACGAGAGCCTTCAACCTGCACGCTGTTTTTGCAGCTGCAAATGGTTGGGTCCTTCGCCGGGGTGATGTATTACACGCCAGATGTAAAAGCTTCGTTGTCCGACCATCCTTTGGTGTTGGGTCTTCGCTTTGAGGAGACAGTGCCCCGCGTCTTCCTCCTCCCCAATATCCTCCCTCCTCCCATACTTGCCCCTGCCCTCCGCATGTCACTCCGGCTAACCCCTCACACATTCCGTAGCCCCGAAGGGAGCTCC